GCAGCACATTAAGAGATTGTGCTTTCCTACTGGAAATCATAATATTTTTATCTCGTGTAATGTATTTGAGCATTACTTGCTTTAGAACTATGCATTCATCAAAGTACATTGAAGTGAAAGGTAAAGGAGTTAAGATATTACATAATTTAAACTGCTATTCAATAAGCAATATGCAATAAAAGAAGTAGATACAAGTCTTTATTAGACTTTCACTACCATTTAAAATACCATTATTTGGATTGATTCATCTCTCACATCAGTTTTCTACTAGGTTAACTCCATTGACTTCAACAGACTTAACCCTGCTAGCCTATACCAACATGACAAAAGATTTAAATCAATCTCTATTACCACTGTTGTTACTTTAGGCTATTCCCCAGTCTGAAGAAAATATGGCCATTTTAAATGCCTGTATTTAGCATTTTTCTTTAAAACCACAGATTTTCCACAGAATGTCAGGCAAAATAAAATAGTCCTTTACATCATACAATGAAAGAGAGCATGGTTTTGCATGCAATACAGACTGTGAGGAAAAATAATAGACACCCTATAGACCACTGTTTAGTGAAGGCTGTAAAGATCAAATCTATGTCTGCTTTTGCTGGTGCCAAATTGTCCCTTTGCACACAAATAACATAGTATGTGTGCACTATAGAAAAAACAAAGAAAACTTGATATTAGTATAGAGGATCTTTATATTCTTTGTGTGTCTTCTGCTTTGGCTTTCTAATCAATATTTCATTTAAACTTGTAGAAAGGTCAATGATAACTTTTCATACAAGACAGACAAAGCAATAATAGGCAGATACTTAAGTAAAATTTCAATCTAACTTTCATGAGAGAATCAGAGCTTCTAGGAAGGAAAGAGATATGTTCACATCAATTAGGTAAAATTATCTTCAGGTCCAAAGAGAGCTTCTAAATTACATCTACCAAAGATTGTGTTATGTATTGATCTCCCTAAATACATACACATGTGAAGATACACTTTCATTTCAGCACCACAAGAATATAACAAAAAGGATTAAGAAGAGTAGTGTATCTCCCAGCTAATAAAACAAAAGGGAAAAACAGGGAAAAAAGACAAAAGACTGACAAAGATTGCAAATTCTTCTGTCAGTTTTCTGAGCTCTTGGGTAGTAGGATAGCAGGAGCTGGAACAGTAATAAAGGAACACGTTGACAACATTTCTTCCTAAGGCACTTGTGCACAAAGCAAGATTAGCCAAAGGCAGGACAAGTTTGGTTGTTGATATCCTGACTTTCTTTCCCCACCCTGGTTGGTTTGAAGGGGCATTTTTACACATGCACTGGGGACTGGGGGACAGGATGGGATGGGCCGCTCTAATTAAAGTGCCTGCGGTGGTGGCTCATGTATTAGTGTCCCTGCACTTAAAAATGGTGGTGGGGTCACTTTAATTAAAGCGCATTGAGCGATTTTTAGTTAAAGCATCCCCACTGCCATTTTGAAGTGAAATAATAAAAGAGATGTGGAGCCTGCTAATTAGCACGCTCCAGCAGACTTGATTAATCAAGTCTGTTCCGACGCGCTGTAATTACAGTGCATTAGAGCAGCCTCCCCACACATCTACAGGCATCCAAGAATACCAGACCATCACTTTCCTTAGGTGCCCTGTTGACCAAAAAAACAAGGTTATGGGGCCTTGCCTGAACTTCTTCCTTACACTTCTGAATGTGTCAGATACAAGGCCTAATATAGAGCCATAGGAATTTGTTCTAATGCTGTTCAGATTAGGTCAGTGCTACAGCTGCTAGCTAATCTTCGTGTCAGTGTTGGATCAACATCCCATATAAATCAGCAATTTTAAATATACCAGTGTTTTTACATGCCACTGAGACAGTAAGCCTGTGACCATTACTCCACCCCACCACTTCCCACCTCAAAGCATAAACAGGAAACCATTTTTGAGGGTGATGACATGATTCTAATTGACTGAAAAATCTCTTGCGAGGACTTTGTGCCACTAGTTTGTGGAAAAATTTACAAGAGTACACCCATGCTCTTTCTCTCTCTCTCTCTTTCTATCTATTTATATTAGTTGATTACTAGTGTTCTCTTTCAGTGAGTCACTCGGCATTCATCTATCAGCAAAATTAAAATCATTTGAAATGTCTGATCAGTTTAATCACTTTTAGTTTCTTTTGCTAATCTAAAAATGGAACTGTTCTTTCTGGAATTGAATTACTGGTTAAATTACTTTTGGAATTTCATCTTGATAGATTTTCAAATTAATTTTTCTTTATCAAATTGAAACTTAAAACATATAAAAATACTACATGCATATATACATGCATGCATGCATATATACATGCATAAAAATACGTGCATGCATTTTTGTGTGCATGCACACATGTGCACACACGCACACACATGTTATATGTATAGAGTGTGAGGTAGATTTCAGAAAGAGCTTTCCATACAATTATATATATTATATCCATACAATTATAACGTATATAAATAATCGTATGGATATTATATATATATATATATATATATATATATATACCATTCTGTGGAAAGCACTTTCTGAAATCCACCTCACACTCTATACATATAATGCATGTGTGTGTATATAATGTGTGTGTGCACATGTGTATTCATATATAAATAATTGTATGGAAAGCACTTTCTGAAATATATATAGCATGTCTGTGTGTGTTTAAAGATATATTAGATATACATAAAACAACTGTCCTAGCAGAATGCACTTTCTGAAACCCACCTCACATACTCTGTGCCTTCCATGGAGCGACAAACTTAGCTCACAACTAAAAATCTACAATTTCATCTCAATTTATTGCTGAGATATTGCCTTTTCAATTTTTGACCTATAAAGTTAGATGTCAAGCACTCAATTATTTCCTCACATCACAAAGTTCTCCTAGGAATTGATTGAATTCTTCTGGAGTGGATTTTTGCTGAGACACACCAAAATCTCTTATAAGGCTTTTTCAGGTTACATGGCCCTAATGCCATTACACAATCTCTGCCTCTAACATGCATCTTGCTATAAAATGGGTAAACCTCCAAAAATGACCTTATACAGCAATAGTTCAGTATTCAAAGCAATCTCAGTATTTTATGTTAGTGATTCCAGAAAAACTTCAGTTTCTCTCTCATTATGCAAAATGTTCTTTCAAATGTAATAGAGACTAGATAACTTTCTGTTGAATTCATAGGCAGAGTTTCTGTAGATTGGTTTACAAATTTCTAGAGAAAGCCTATGTTTAAGTGTAAAATGATATAAGGTATATAATAATTTCCAAAAAAAAAATAATAATTAGGTCTTATCACCAAACTATTTCAACACCACTATAATAATAATAATTAAAAAGGAACACACTATACTGGTCTTTCCCAGTCATAACATTTGCAAGTATGAAAAAATAAACCAGAAAACACACTATACTATTCAAAGAATAATTGGAATATTAGGAAGTAGAAGATACTTTCAAATTCTGCAGACATTTTGCCACCTTAGTCAGGGCCCCTGCGATCAGTCAGTGACAGGGGAAGCAGGGGTCCCCCACAGCCTATCTCCTCCTAACATTTCCCAAAGAAAGATATTTCAGTACCTGCAATTACCACTCCATCTCCTCTGTCACCTAAAAGGTAGACTGGAAGAAGGAATTTAAAATATAATTTACAGGAGGAATATAAATATCTACAATTCGGATCTTAAACCAATCTCTGATTATAAATTGGGAAGTTTTCCCTTCATTCAGGTTATCCAGGTATGTTGCATGGATTTTTGAATGTGTTTCTGAAGGAATTGCTTCTGAACACCATTGGAAACACAATAATTAGGATCCAGTATTGCAATTCTTATAATTCCATTTGGTAGAGAATAATCATGCATTAACAGGGAATAAACTAGAATATCTAATCCCCCCCGCCCCCTGCCCCATCCTTTCATTCTGAACACACTGATGATCAGTCATAATGATAATGGTATATCTTATTATTAAGATTCCCAAGAACATGAATTTATTTATTTATTCACTGTACTATACTTAACAGAGAATAACATTTTCCATAAACACAATGGTATGACATGGTCAACTGCATAGTGTCAGTAACATGACCACTTGCATCAGTTGTGAGCAAAAATAGTTATGTGCATTAGCTGAATATTTAATTTGTGCTGACAAATAGGGTATTTTCCCAGTCCTTATTGCAATATTATGTGTAAAAGATCTCAGCAGCCATTTTGGCTGGGTTTTTTGGATCACCAGGCATGCAGCAAAAGTTAATAGCCTTCCATTCACTTTTTCCTTCTCATTGTTATTACTTTAGTCCTTTCTATTTAGTAACTTCTCTGTTCAGGTCTATCCATATAATCTGATGAAGTAGGATGCCTTCTATGAAACCTCATGCCTCTCTGAATGAAGGTGGATTCAGAGTGCCACACTGCTCAGCCTGCTGCCTGACTTGAGACTATCATGGCTAACTCTGTCTACTTATGGATGGCGCCATGCTCAGCCAAATGAAATGGAGTGCAGTCCATTTATACAAGAAGCTAGCTCAGGTAGGCTATATTTAAATTACTTTTTTCCTTTCTCTTTAGTACCCTTGCTGTCTGCAAGTCCATTGATAGCATCTGATGAAGTAGGTTGATGCCTACTAAAGTTTGTGCCTCTTTAAACAAGTTAGGTCCAGAAGTGGCACCCTGTCTTTTATCTATAAACATGTTTGTTTACAATGCTGATCTTAACTGAAATTTTACCATATAGCTCTAGCTTTACCTACCAAAACTACTGATTCCCTTTGATGAATAACAGTAGGTCTTCCCAAGCCAGGTTAAAGTCTCTCCTTACAATGTCATGTTTATATTTTCATTTGATATACTGGGATTACTTACTAACTGACATTTTGATGATGATAATTAGCCAGTGATAAAAAAGTTTATGCACATTTGAAGTAGCTCAGAGTCATTAAATGAGCTGGATGAGGGCCAAACTAGACTTTGATGGGACTCTGCACTGTCATCTTACCCTAGAGCTGCAAAGCTGGCTAGATCTGACTGCCTTTATTTTTGTTTTAATTTTTAGACATGTTAGTTTCTGCTTGTACCACAAATAAAGATGTTTTTATATTTGGGGTTATGCCACTTCCGAAGACCCCTCAGCATTGCAAAGGCTCATGAGGCAGACTTACAATACATACATTTCCCTCCCAAATTCTATTTGTTTCATATCCAACTGAGTTATAACACTATTCAAACTGTTTGGAATAGACCTTAATGTGGGTCTGTAAATGGTTCAATAAAATGGTTTGGGCTGCCAGAACTCAAGCTCCTACACTACAGCTCCAGCCCATTTTGAAACCTATTAAACCAGTAAAAGGTTTGTCAGCCTCATTGGAATGATCAGCCTCAATCCTGTGCTGAGACCAACAGAAGAGGACAATGCTATCTGTATGAGTGATGATGACTTAAGTAAGCTTTCCATAGATCCCCATGCTTCAGTCCACCAGGCTTTAGGAACGATGTTGGAGGGCCATACTTCCCATCTCCACATGCTTCTTTCCCACTCTAGTAGATGTTGTTTACTTTTTTTTAACCATCTTCACACAGATTTTGAAGAATATATCTTTTTGTTGGAAGAAGCCAGGGAAATGAGACCTACAACTTCACAAACAAATCCTTTCCTTCAGAGAAAGTAAACGTGGCAATGCATGAATTTTTAGTAGCACTACAATAATGTAATACAAATGACCTGGGAAAATTACAGGTGTAATGTAGTATATATGATCTGAGAAGAGTTAGAAAACATTAATTATAGGCATTGGTGCAGTAAATTAGTTTATTCACTTTACTAGCTTTTGACAAAGCATAATTGTTCTTTCTATATGTTTCAAAGATTGAGGTTTAAAATGACTTTCATTTTTTTTCTGGCAACATAAAAAATTTGTTTGAAAAATCTCATGTTATGCTGAATAAGCAATGTTTATTTTTATACTGATAATGTTGAATACTGTCTTTTTACTATAGACCTGACTTATTTTTTTTCTTCAGTTTTACAAGACAGGATTGAGGCTTAGATGAATATTTTAATAACCTATAATGTGACCCCAATTTAGGAAAGTACTTAAGAACATCCCTAAAGTTAAATATATACCTAAGTGCTCTGACCCATAGTTATCCAAAGTGAAGTCTTAAAATGCCTAAGAAGAAATCCTATTCTTGACATTTATTACATAATGATTATTAAGGATGTGGGTTTTCCATATCCTGTGGATTTACATTTTTAACCAAGAAAAATGTGGATTTTTCATTTTAATAGACAAACGTGGATTTTCCACTTTTGTAAAGAGCTCTCTGCAGTCTGGCAGAGTTCCAGCCTGCATGGGTCTGCAGGGAGCATGGGACAGCTGGGAGGGAACAAGTCAGGCAGAGATACACATGGCCACCAGGCAGCCGGGAGAGCAGCTCCTGCAGGTAAGTCTGGTGGGGAGGCGGGGGGATTGAGGCCCTCATAGGGAGGGAGTTGGGCAGGGTATGTGGCTTGGGGCCTAAGGCTGGTATGTGTGGCTGCAGGGCTCAGGTGGGGAGCAGGATGGAGGTGCAGGTGGCTCATCCAGTGAGTGGTGCGGGGGTGACTCCCTGCTGCTTCATACACTACCCAGAGGTTTTCTTGAAAAAATGACAACGTGAAACTTTCACCTATTATTTGGAATAATTGTTTTTGTTTAGAAAGCCTTCCATTTTATTGCAATGCTCCAAAGTCTTGTCCAAAATAAAAACTTTTCATTTGAATGTTATTTGAACATTATGATTTCCTAAAAACTTTGCAGATTGATAATTTGCACAACTCTACTGATGTAGCTTAAAACTTTAGCAGCCTATTTGATTCTTCTCTTTATATTACTTTTTTTAATAATCTAATACATGGCTAAATTATGTGGCTTTCCCTTTTTCCTATGGGATATATTTAAACCTAAATGTTACACTGCAGTAATTTTTTCTTAATATTATTTCATCAACATTTTCTATCTTAATTACATCCTATTATTCCTGGTCAAATCTTTTTATATCCTACATAGTCTCTCTTCACGTTTAGTTTTGGTAGATCCTATTGTTTCCTTTCCCCCCATAAGTATGCCGCTCATGATTTTTCACCCCCTCACACAAACCAA